AGATGGGCATCACTACATACGCCGACGGCCAGAAAGGCCCGCGCATCTACATTTTCCCGCCTGACCCCATCAGTGCCGACCCAACTCCACCACCACACGCACGCCTCGCGGCGGATGCGCAGCAGCAAGAAGGTTTCGGTCATCCCTTGAGGGTGAGTCTAGCCCTGCTCGCCAGAAAGACCCCCCACTTCGCTACAACCCATGTCTAAGCAAAAGCTTGTCGAGGAGCGAGGGCAAGAAGGGAGAGTCTAGATATAGCTAATCTAATGTGAGAAACAACAACAACAACAACAACAACAACCCCCATTTTCGAAATATCTTTCGCGAACCCCCCCTGAAAAGCTTGACAGGTGGGGCCCCCCACACGCGGTGTGCCGCAGAGCTTTTGCGTATATCACTCGTCCTCTCCAGTGGTACGGGTTCCTCAGGAGAAACAACCCGTGACCTTCGTTCGCTCAATGCCCGGCGTGCAGTTTGATAGAGAGCTGCGATACACAAGGGGCGAAAGGAGATTTCGAAAATCTGTCGAGTGGAAAACATGGAACAACGCGGCCATCTTCCCCAGCAGCAACGAGAGCAACATCGGCAGACCTGCCGTGGCACATGTGCAGCAGGTATGAACCCACAGTGTGCAAACAGAAGGCCTGGTAGAGATACACCCAAGGGGCGCGGTCCCCTCGCTGCCGCTCTATTCTTCGCTCTATGCCGCGTGTGCGTGGAATAGACTGGGAGAGCCGGGGGGCGGTGAAGTTCAACGTTTGGCTCCAGCGGCGTGTCTTTCGCTGTACATGCATCTACCGATGTATCTGTGTATGTAAGTGGCCGATGGTGGGGCGAGCGATCGGTAATGTCCGTTGTTCCTTGTTGTAAATGGAACAACAGATTCAAACTTCGCGTTTGGGGAGCATTGGTTTATTCCGAGGTGTTGGTGGTAACAACAGCCGGTGGTGGTGCTTAGAGCAAGCAGTCTGGAGGGCCGCCCTCAAGCTCTGGTTGGAAGCTACACATGTTACTGCTGCTGTAACTTGTGTATCTGTCGGGACGTAACCGAGCATGTGCAACTCGTGAGGAGAGGACAGCAACCGCAGGCATTTTGAGTCTGCTGAAGTCGCCCGGTAGAGGAGCAATGCTGTCGTTTCTATTCAAGCCTGGGTTGCTGCCTTAGGACAACAGCAGTGCACTACCATGCATTTGAGTTTCGCGGCCGGGGGGAAAAAACGTTTCAAGTTCCGGAAGTGTCTGTACAACATGAAGTCCCCGTCCTTAGACAATCTATGCCTCACCCACAGGACCCATGACCGGCTGGTTGGTATTTCCTGCCTTCTTGAGACCACCTTGAATGTAAATCAATTGTGTGGCCTCCTCACTCAGATCGGGGTCTAGCTTCGCTAGCCTCAGGGCCTCTTCGACTTTGTCGATGCACAGTCTGTATCAGAGAAGTAGACCCCGGTCTGAGTGTCTGCATCGACAAAGTCGAAGAGGCCCTGAGGCTAGCGAAGCTAGACCCCGATCTGAGTGAGGAGGCCACACACTTAATTTTTATTCAAAGTGGCCTCAAGAGGGCAGGAAATACCCAACCAGCGGGTCATGGCGGTCCTGTGGCTTAGGGATGGGTTGCTAGAGAGGACGCCGAACCAGGTACTGGTATGCAGCAACGGGCTGATTTGATGCACTGGCTCTGGTGGCATGGATATTTTAACCGTTGTTTGCCAACGATATCCTTGAAAGACTCCTGAGAGGGGTGTGCTGTTCGACGTAAAATAGGACCAGCCTGGCATTGCTTGTGGCGAATCGGGTAGCTGCGATGGTGGCAGCGAGAAGATTGGCGTACTGCGCGGGTAGTTTATCACCAACAAGGCGGGCGATACATCCGTCACTTGATCACTCGCGGTAGTAACACGGCAGTAGGGAGGTGACAACGAAAACCCCGCTGCGCACACACGGAGCCTGCTTGTAGCCTCTTTCCGCGTACAGCAGAAGTAGCATGTTTTTTGTCCTTCAGCATATCCCGATGTCTCCCGCTTCATCCCCGAATGTCATTACAGGCATGCGTCTTCTCGCATCGGCCGTCTTCGCTGCAATGGCTCTCTCCCACGTCGCGGGCTCAGAGGTGTGTTTAGGTAATCGGTTTTCATTTTCAGGGCGGTCCTGCTATCAGCGCTTGTCTTTGTCAGTCGTTGGTCATGGCTGTGCTCGCCGGAGTGTTTTCCTTCCATTGTTGCTTGGTGGCGTCCCTCATTTTGTGACAATGTTGTTTGAACCACCACCTGTTTCTTTCTGGGTCCGTGTCTTGGTTTGGTTGTGCTGAGGGCCGTCCCTGGGGATCTTGATGGATAGTCCAAAGGGGCGGAACATCGCACGTGTGTGCTCGTTCGCCGCTATTCTCTCTGACGTGGATCGTACATTGCGGTACCCGCAGAATTTCAAAGCGTTTTCACACAACGTAAGTTTGCACGCGTGCCTTTCGTGGAGCTGCCGTGCCTCACTCCACACCTATTTTTGTCCCCGTACCCCCTGGCGAAGGCTCTGCCTTCCAACCCTCCCGCGCTCCCACGCGGGGCTTCCTGTGGGTTGAACGCGTTCGTCCCGCCCGTGTGCAAGAAGCTCGGCGCGACTGGCCCCAGGTGCGCGGGGGTGCGGTTGCCGACTACCGCTTGTTGCTGCACGATTTGAAACATCGCTTCGCCATTGGTTCCGGTTGCTGTAGATGGCTGTTGATGTGTGTTCGTGTGTCCTTGATTCCGTGATGTTGCCAGAGGGCATGCCGGGAATGCTTTGCTGCAGCTCGGAGAAGACGCCGTTAGCGGGGAGAGTTCTGTTGGGAAAGGGAGGTTTAACGTGGATCACAACTCGTGCGCGGCACGCTTCCGACGTTGGTGGCCGTTTCTTGCAGGGGTGACCGAGCGCTAGCCTTTCGGGCCTTTTCGTCTCTCCGGGGGGGGGGGTTCAGCTGGGGTTCGCCTGAGGTAAGAGGTACATAACGCTGCTCTTGTTGCATTGTTTTTCATTCCACCTGCTGGTTATTGTCTCCAGCAGTAACGGTTACGATACTCCTGTTGTTCGGGTGGGTCGCGGTGCAACATCATCTCCGATGCCGGTGGAGTTAAAAATTTGGGGCCAATAAATAACTAAATCGCTGCCGCAGTATGGATACCGTTAGGGCTTCACCAGCGCCTACAGTATGCCCAGCCTTTGACGTCAACCGGCGAGCTTCTTTTCGAAAACGCGTCCCCTGCCCCGGCTACAGCAGCAGCAGCAGCGGCCGCAGCGTCAGCAGCAACGGCAGCCCTCCGTTAGGCGGGGAGCCTCCGGCTTGTTCGGTGCATCTTGGGGCGGCGGATCGCCGGACAACAACAACAACGGTGGCAACAACGGCGACAAAAACGGCGACAAGCGGCCTAGAGTCGAGACCCGCGGGCCGCCCGACCTGAACACGCGGCTTCCCCCCACCGCCCCCGGCAGCGACGATGGTAACGGCGGCGGCGGCGGCTTCTTCAGCGCGATTGGCGGCGGCGGCGGGGGTGGATCGTCGAGAGAAAGGGTTAAGACCGTGGGGCCTCCAGATGCAGGCAAGCGGCGCGCTCCCGTTTGCGCGAGATTCTCAACACTGTATTGTAGCCACAGTCATGGCCATTCCTAGCCACGTCCCACAGTTATTTTGCTGTGTTGATTTGCTTTGGAGCTTTGATGGTGATTCAGGGCACGAAATTGCTTTGATACAAGTGCCGGAAAGAGGTGTCCGGGGTGTGTTGCCGCTCTCGAGCACATGAAGGTTTCCGTGTGGTATTGTTCTGGTTTTGTCGCGTCAGCACATGATCGACTTAATAAGTCGCGAGGGAAGGGATCGCTGAACCCTTCTCGCGATAAAAATATCCCAGGCAGGAACCGCGGGAGGGGGTCCAACCCCACCCTCCTATGTGACCCCGGTTGGGTCGTCTAGCTAGCAGAAGTGGAGGATAGGGGCCAGAGGGGCAGACGACCGAGTCCAATGATGGGAGAAAAAAAATATTTATATATTTATCGAAAGCCCAGCAGATTCTTGCTACCGTGTCCTCGGACCGGTGCGTACAGGTATTCAGACAGCTTCATGTTTGTTCAATTTTTCGCCGGGCGCAACCCGCACTCTCCGTGCACGTTGCAGCAGCGGTGCTTACACAGGGGGAAAGTCCTGCGTACCAAGCGTCTGCTCTCATGATGGCAGTGACCACAGGATAGAGGGAGAAAGCGAGAGAGACAGAAGGCGGGCAATGAAGAGACACAGAGAGAGAGAGAAAGAGAACGAGATGGCTTTGCGTGACCTCACACGTAGTCCGTGTCGCTGTCGCCAATGTTGCACCATTCCCGCCACAGGTGGGGGGGGCGGGAGGAGAGGGGGAAGGAGGGGATTATTTTCTGCCGGATCGGCAGCACCCACGGCGCCCCCCATGGAGCAGCAACAGGAGCAAGCGGGAGGCCGGTTTGGGGGGGGGCGGTAAGATTCGTGCTTTATTTCGAGCGGATGACTGCGAGACGTGTTTTTTAGTTCGAGGCTGCCCTTGCTGTTGACGTACTTTGCCTTTGTTGTCGGTGGAGACTGATCCAAGAATGGGAGGGGAATCCCTCGGTGATTGCGCGCGAACAACGCTCTAATCGTTGATGGTAACCAGACACACAGGGCGATGCGGGTGTATTTTATGGATAGTACTGCTGTGGTGTCGAGTAGCACCGGTTCGTGTTGGCACTTGGTATGCTTACTTTTTCGACGCATGCTACTGTCGTTCCACCTTCCAGAAGGCCGACGCTGTTCACGACCGTTTTATCCTCTTTTTGAAAGCTTGATGGTTACCGCCCTTTGCGCTTCTTTCGTGGTGTACCCTCGATCGTGCTGTATCCTCTTCGCGCTGTGCGCTGTCTCGTATTGTACCCCATTTCATGTTATACGCTATTCGTGCTGCACCTGTTTCTTACCCTGAGGCTGCATCGCCCTTTTCCTGTGGGTGGTTTTCTGTTAATGCTACCGCTTTTGCTGCGAACCTGCAACGTTTTTCCGCCCCGAGTTTCATATCTCCCTATTCCCCGTTTTGTCGGTTCCCTGCCATAACCACCTGATCTCGCGGAGTGTCCCTGTAGACCTGTCCCGCCCGTTTACTTACCGATCCTCTGCCGTGCCGTGTCCGTTTGCCCCTGCTACCGCTGTAACCCCCGATCATATCTTGGCGGACCCCAGGCCCCAGCTTGGTTGGGGTGGAAGGGCCGGGGTGGGCGGAGACGACGGAGAGGGAGAGGGACCGGTTCGAGGATGGGGAGAAGGTGCTGGGCACGCCTGGGTGTTGTATCTTCTGTGTTTTTTTTTTTTTTTAATAGCATCTACCGCGATAACCGGGTGACCAAATGAAAAGACGTCAGTCTCAGCGCGGCTGGAAACAGAGAATGCTCCTAGAGGCTACATGATCTGGCACGCCGTGAGGGGCCGTCATGGGGGAGGCTAAGCTGCTGTCCGACCAGTGTCAGTGTGGGCTCGCGCTTGCGCTTGCTCGATGTTCATGCTTGTATTTTGCCCGGCCCTCTGCGGTGCAATTCGGTTCCGCTAGAGTCCATTTTTTTTGTTGCCGCGCGCTCTCTCTCTTGTTTCCGGTCACACCTAATCCCTTCGCTAGTTAGTTCACACACGTGTACAATGCTGCCGCGTGGTTTTTCACCACTTCCACTGTCCAGGTAGCCGATCGGCCTTGTCGGGCAGGAAGAGGGGTCTGATGGCCGTCCACTTCCTGGTCCTCTCGTGCTTCGGCCTCTTCTCCCTCAACACTCTGTTCGGCGTCGACCGCCTCTTCGGGCTAAGCCTTAACCACCAGCGGCCCCGATGGTGGCAGTCCATCACCTCCCTGTGAGTTTTTGCTTGAATTTTGCCGTTTGCGTCACCCCCTATGGGTCTGTCTTCGTCTCCGGGTTCGTTTGACGTTTTTCTTTTTTGCGTCGGTGGGCCTCCTGGTGGCACTGTGTTGTCTCAGACCATTGCCGTTCGAAGGAGAAGCATTATCATGTGACGTTCTTGGCTTCCGTGTACACAGTCTTGCAGCAGTTAACGCCCGCACACAATATCTTGTCGGATGAGATCTTCATGCTCGATGTTGTATCGGACGTACAATAACCTCTTGAATATAAGCGAAGCCCGGATAAGAACCCCTTTGCCTAAAGCTTAGCCCGCACGTAAGAGGGGCTGTGACGCAATCGGTAGCAGTGACGTCACAGCCCTGAGCGAATCAGCCCAGGTGGTGTTTATCTATGACTCGGTGGGAAAGTAGACTGGTCGTCCATCATTAAATTTGGGGTCACCCGCCCCCCCCTCCCGTTCCCCTTTTTGAACGCAGTCTCCTTCACGGCGACCAGCACCACCTGATGGGGAACATGTTCAACCTCATCATCTTCGGGAAGATGGCGGAGGAGGACATGGGCTCTATCGGTGAGGCATATCATTTTCTGTCGCGAGAACGGTTGTAGGTTATTTCTCCGTCGGCGACACACTTGTCCCCAGCCGGTGCGTCCAGAAACATACTACGGAACGGCATAGACTTCGTTGTCCACAGCGCGAGGCACGAAACCAAGAGTGGAAACGATGTGTCGCGTCGTTCCTTGTGTGCGTGTGTGTCATTTTTGTCGACAGGAAGGACACCATTCTCGTAAGGTCCGCCGTTTCACATGGGTGACTGCCGGTGTGTCGTGGCGCACTCGCTCCCGACACGCGCGGGAGGGGTACGTTTGCTCTTCGTCGGGGGAAAAACGTTGTCGTTTGTACCCGGTGGTGCTTGATATGGAGAACGCGTGCAAGCGCGAGGAGGGTGAATGCGAGTTGAACGTTAATCGTTCACGTATCTTTGTTTTGTGATTTTTCTCATGTTCCCGCAGCGATCTAGAGTGGGTTCAAGCGTGTCCGGGGAAAAGGATTCAGACGTGCTTTCTCGCCTCTTGACCATTTTATTCCGGGGTATGTATAATAGCGCTCCTGTTCTTTGCTGGCTGCTGGGAACGGCCATCCACTTTTTGACACGTGCCGTGATGCCTCGGTGTATGGTGACAGGCATGCTCATGTCGTTCGTGGCGTGCGGCGTCGCTTCCAGCTTCGTGAGCCTGATGATCATGCCCCAGACCGCCAGAAGCTGCGGGGCAAGCGGGGCGATCTTCGGCCTCTACAGCGTTTGCGTGTTGGGCAAGGTATTGTACGGTTGCATCTCCTGGCCCGTCTCGAGTCATTTTTTTTTTTCCAATGGTAGCTGGAAAAAATCATTCCGTTGTGCGTCCCGCAACAGCTATCGATGGTAGCTTCCTTTTGAACGTTCAGGACTACTTTTTGCTCGTTGAAAACTCCCGGATTTGACGGAACGCCCCGCTGTAACGGCCACATCACCCGGCGCGGAAGGACGCCCTCAACTTTAGTTTTGACGTGGACGCGCGACCCCAGCTATGCACGTGCGAACACCCGTGTGGGTAAATGGGTAACATTCCTTGCACACGTTGTATCTTCTGTCTCCCATCCCTGAACATACTGGGCGCTGTGCCCCTCTTGTTGTGCACGCGGTAGATGTTCAACCTCGGGCGGCGTGGCTCCTCTGACGGCCGCCTTCGGAAGCTCATCGAGGCGGCGGTGTTTGGCTGGTTCGTCGTCGACAGGTGCATGGTCTAAACGGACACGCAGGGTGTTGCCGTCTATCTTTGTACTTCATAGTCTTTCGCAACAACTGTGTTGCGGTGTTGCGGTGTGTGGTACGTTTATGTTCTAGTCGGTTTTGCCCTGTGATACATACATAACCGGGCACATGCGGCGTGATTCACCCTGTTGTAGTAGCCTATCGTTTGTGGTAGTGTCTCGTGACAGCGCAGTTGCGGTGTGTGGGTGCATACACATGTGGTCTATCTTAGCAGTAGTTGCCTCGTTGCAGCTGTGTTGCGGTCGACAGGTACCTACATGGACACATGCCGAGTAATTCACTATGTTTCTGTCTGTCTGTCTAGTACGGTGTCTCGTTACGGCTGTGCTGGCGTTGTGTGGTACGGTTGTGCTCTAGTCCTTTTCGCCCTTTGAGACACGAGGAGCACGCGAAACATGGCGGCGTTTTCACTACGGCAGCTTGTTTCCACCTTCCTTTTTGAAAAAATGTGTCTAACGGCAAAGTCCCAGGCAGGGGTAGACTTGCTCCCGTGTGTGGTCCGGCCAGCGGCTGCTTCGTCCGAAATTGTTCCGAAAGGTGTAAACGTCGATGCCAAGCATACCCGGGATGACACACACAGTTATTTTATTGTCTCGGGATTTTTTTTTTGCCTTTTTCGTTGTTCCGCCGTGTATGTAAAGGTTTACCTCCTTGTCGGTTATTCGAGCACATTGTTTCGTTTGGTACCGCAACTTTCCCGGGCTGCCGGTTTTCTTTGGCAGCTGCTGGTTCCCGCCTCAACGACCACGGTTGACCAATGGCCCAAACGTTCCTTTGTCAGGCCTCCCAACCGCCCCCTACACCCTCTCCGTTTTCCCTGTCCTGCGACGAAACTTCGAGCAGCGTGATTTCGGAGATGCGCATGGTGGTAGCCGGAGGAGTGAAGGGGATCGACCACGCGGCACACTTCGGGGGCGTTTTTGCAGGTGAGCAATATGCCGTTCTCTACATGGCAAGTGTTGTTCTGTGGCCTTTGATAGTTGCGTTGGCCCGAATGTTACAGGTTTTGTATGATTTTTTCATATGCATCCGTATTCTCCGTTCTGCGGAGGTAATATGTACAAGACCATTACGAAACAACGTCGATGACTCATTGCTATGAGTAGTCACAGTGCAGACCAAATCGTTGGTACACTGCACAGCAGGCCGCTGTCAGGTACACTCTTTCTAGATATGCGAGATGCATGCATCATGCGAGACCGGAATGTCAACGTTGACGAAATGAAGCAGATTCCGTCGATTTGGTAGACGTCCCGTCGTCCGGAAAACACGGTGAGCAAGCGGCGAAATCTCGTTCTTGTCGCGCCGCGTTACTGCAAGACAAACTAGCTGGTGGCGAACCGATACGTTCGCCCAACGCCTGCAGAAGGAATGATAATCCCCGGTGCATGCGCCCTCTGTTCTCTCTGTCGCCGGTTGGCTGCAACAGGCGCGGTTCTGATCCTCATGTTCCGGAGGTCGTTCCGAGAACAGAGCATCCGAGAGCAGAGGTTGCGAGGGAGGAACGCTTGACGCCCTTCGTTCATGGGCTAGCCGCCAGCTCGTTCCGTCCGATGTTCACCGACTCGTGCAGAGCGAGAACAGAGCAGCAACGATTTCTGGCCCCAACGGGCTGTTGTTTCTGACATGCTACAGACACCAGCGACGAGCGACGGGCGACTCGTATTTCGTTGGGCTTTTGCTGGCGGCGACTCGAGCGATTATTTTCGATCGGTCCGTTGCGGCGACATTTAGTGCTTGTTTGGGGGACTGCGCCAAACGGAGAAGTTTCATTTTTTTTTCCGAGGGACACCTTCGGCCGCAATGTGGCTTGTCGGCATGTTGTATTTGCAGTGCTGCTCGTAAGTGTCCTTTTAGGAACAAGCTGTTCTCGTAGAGAATCACCAATCGCGTGCACCGAACGTTCGTTCTGACCGCATGGTTTCGTGTGATCGGTCAGGGTGCCGTGGGCTGACGCGCGGCGTCTGGGTAAGAATGCGATCCGTCGATCGATAGACGCTGCGTTTTGGTCTTGGTGGACCTCTAACTGGTCAGTTTGTCACGCCGAGACAGCCAAGTCGTCGCCATCGTTTCGTTCAGGTGTTAGGTTTGTTTGCATGTGCTTCCAGAACTCCTTCAATCTGAGCCGGTGTCGATTGATTTATCTGCGGTATATGTTTGTCCGCAGTGATGTTGGTATTCCCACCATCTGCCTCGTGAATGGGTTTCGTGTGTTGTGGTCAAACGACAATGGCAAGCAACAAGTGAGTACCTCGCACTACACCTCGCACTACACGTTGATTTGAACAAGTATCATGGCTTTCTTTTCTCAAGCTTTCTAGCGGGAGATAATAACGTGCCTGCCGCGAGGGATGCTCTTGTTCTCTTTATCGTGCAGCAGCAGTGGAAGCGCTAGGTAGTACTGGACGCCCAACGTAATGCGCGCTTGAGACCGAGCCTCTTAAGCCCGAAACTCTAGCAGTGGAAGTGTTCGGGTAGAAGGAAAACATGCATGATATATTTTCTTTTTCGAGGTGTCGCCAAGTTTCTTTAAGCGCGAATTTGAAATGTTGTATGACGCTTCGCGCACAATTCGGCGCATAATCTAGCGACGGCATCAGCAGGTATTGTCCCGCGCGCTTGTAGCACCAACCGGTGTCCGGTGCGTTCTGTTGTAGATGTCCTTCTACCAAAAGACACAGTAGGGTTTCCTTTGGTTATATGTTAGTGTTGCAGAATAAAATATTGCGACCTACGCGTGCTGTAGAATCGGTTGGCGGGGTATATTTGTCTGCTGACGGTCTCTTTCTGTCATTTTCCTCCTTCGCGCCTCATGTATATGTAGGGGTTAGGAACACCAGGCTAGCTGGGGTATCCAAGCGCGCCCCGTAGATGGTTACCAAGTTGTAGAAGAGCGGGACAGGCTTGAGCTCCTCTGATGGCGGATGTGGAGAGGGCGGTTCGGGGTAAGTACAAGCCGTGGCAACGCGGGGGTGAAAGTCGTCAAACAAACATGTTTGTGCGTTCTGTTGGGGCCGTTCTTCTGGAGCGGCGGGAATTTCCTAATGTGCAGGGCATCGGAAGGACCGTTTGTTTTCGAAAGGAAATGTTGTGTGTTGAAGCCAAATGGACTCGTCTCGGTCTTGTCCGTTTTTTCTGTGCCCTGTCGTGGGTTTTCCTGGCTTCCTCGCAAGAATTACCTGCTGCCCTTTAGAGACGAGAGGCGCCTCAAAGAGACAAGATACATGGCCGTTCAACTTGAAGGCAGTAGCAACAGAATGGCGGCATGTGCGCGGACGTCAATCACCATGCAGTCATGGCAAGGTTGGCGAACTTCGGTGTGATGAGGCACTCACTCCTGTGGCCACCACAGCCAGTGTGAGAACACGGTGCCTATAGAGCGGGTCGACCAGCTCCCGTAGCTGCATCCAAACGAGGATACGACAGCGTTCTTGTTGTAGTCAGAACCAGGAATAAGGAACAGCTTTAAAACAGGATGCATTGAGGGAGTTCTCTACAGAAGTAGGTGAGGTACAGTGACAGCTGCGGTAGGTTTGTTCGGCCGGGAGAAAAAGAAAACCGTGTCAAGACCATTGCTCTACCCTGTGGCCGGAAGTCAGCGTAACTACTACATGTTGCGGACGTTCTTCCCGCTCCACCTGGTCTCTTGCCGCTCTTTCTCGTCCCCGTCGCGACCAGGATCGGTGCATGACCTCCTCTTGTGTCCAGTTTGGTCACATGGCGCTGTTGCCTCGGCCTCATGGTCACTGCCGTGCCTGCGTTGGTGTTTCGCATTGGTCCGACACGGCCCACGGCCATTCTTCGTACAGACAGATACCAATCACGGATATGATGGGATCATGCTTAGGCCTACAGGCAAGTAGAGCTCAGCCTGTCCGCTCAAAGTGTCTTACGAGGTAGCACAACCTCGCACGATATGTGACACGATTAACTCAGAACCTACAGCAGGATGGAGCGATCAGCCGAGGACCTGCAGACTGCGTTGTCCACAGGAACAGATTTGTTTTGGGGGGATTTGGGCACGTGCTGACCTCGATCCACGTTCATCAGAAGGAGGTTTCTTGCTTTTGTGAGAACGCAGGTGTACTCAAGCTTTTGGGGCGCTTGCCCTATTTCTCATCGTGACAAAAATTTTACCACTATTCATTCGCCCAAACGAGTAATAATGAATATACATACGTATATTCCGAAGTCCGCTCGTGGATGGTCGTGATCTCTAGCCAACCCCGCACCGGCAGACAAACTTGCTACGTCATTCGAAGAATCTAGACGAATGTATCGAGGTGCAGTACTGGGCGGACATTAGAGTACATCAGAATGACATCCACCAAACGTGACGACATTCGCCTGTTGCTCGCCGCAAGAACGGATGGAGCCTGTAAGCATTCCATAAAGATGCTCACAGAGAGAGGTAATTACTGTTTGCGGCCTACGCCACTTACATATCGGGTGAGACTGTATTGGTAATGTATAAACTTCACGAGAGGTAGACGACCGTCCTTCACACGGATGAAAGAGGGAGTGCTCAAAGGGCGGCTCCCGCAGCAAGGAGGGGCCCCGTGAATCATTGCTCTGCCCCCTGCCAAACGGAAACCTTACCAGCCTGCGTGACACCAAATCATCCGTCACATGTATCCAACACCAATGTTCGCAGACCCGCGAACACCCTCCCTGGTTCTTCACGCAAGTGATTAACAATCAATGGGGCAAGAACGCCCCTGGACAAGTCAGAAATTACCAACATGGTAGAAGTTGTATGGAGGGGAAACCCGGCGTCCGGGCAAAACCCCTCGAAAAAAATCTTACCACCACAATAACCGTCGCTATCACAGCGGATCACAACGGCCGCACTTGTTACAAAGGCCAAGGCGAAGACAAGAACGCGAGGAACAACGTTCCCCCGGACGATGGTCTCCCAACACCCCCTAGTCCTGCCATTGGTACACAGACCGCAACAGTTATGCGTCTTTCCCCGCATGGAAAACATGCTAGAAACTGCTACAGCTACTCCGGCAAATTCATCAACTTGCGCCGGTGGTGCTGCAGGCTAGTCCTGCTAAAGGCCTTGGTTAGGAGGTCCGCTTGTTGCTCCGTTGTCGTAATGTACTTGACCGAAATATCCCCCGACCTAAACAATCCGCGGATGAAATGAAATCTCACGTCGATGTGTTTCGTGCGACCTGAGCTGAGGGGGTTGTGCACCAACGCTATGACCCCCTAGTTGTCCTCAAGGACCTGGATGCTGCTACCACTGGTCTCTGGGGCAACAAACGAAAGCACAGCACGCACAAACAACGCCTCCTTGAGGCCCTCCCCAGCAGCAATATATTCGGCTTTCGTCGAAGACAAAGACACGATGCTCTGTTTCTTGCTACCATGGCTGACTACGGTATCTCCAACCGTCGTCGCCAACCCTGACACCGAACGCTTATCCTCCGTGTCGGCGTAGCTGGCGTCCACGTCCACGGCCAGCCCTACCCCCGATCACCGTTGGTAGGTGATGCCGAGGTCCCTCGTCCCTTTCAAGTAGCCGAGGATCTTCTGGATGGTATCCCAGTGCCTCTTTGCCGGGGCGTGGGCGTGGCGCACTACCGCGCGCACGGCGAACGAAACGTCTGGACGCGAGAACGTTGACACCCACATCATGCTGCCGATGGCCTCCCTCACCGGCCATTCCCCTCCCTTCTCGTCATCTCGCTTCGGTCCTATGGGGGATTCACTTAGCTGGTGGGACGCCAGAGCCGTCTCGAGGGCGTCTGGCGAGTTGGGCATGAGGTCCACCGCACCCAGCAGGAAGTCCTCCGCCGCTTGGCGCGCAGCGTGGGCCTCTTCCGCGCGCTCGAACAGCAACTCTCGCACCGCCCTCGCCTCTAGCCCTTCCGCCACGTGAAGTGCCGCCGAGAACATCCAGCTGGTGAACTCCTCCATGCTGCTGACGGGCAGGCTTGCTGCCGAGGCGAGCAGGGCTTTGGCACATGTCGGCGACGGGGCGACTCGTACCTCGGGTTTCGGCGAGGGTTCTCCCTGGTACAGCGGCTGGTTAGTTCCGCCGGCTTGTCGAAGCGGGCGAGCCGCCGATTCTCTGGCCCACCTTTCGCTGGGAGATCCGTCTCGCTGCCGCTGCCGCTGCTGCTGTTGCTGCCGCCGTCATCGCCGCTGCTGCCGCCGCTGCTGCTGTCGCTGCCGCTGCCGCCGCTACCGCGGCCGCTGCTGCTGCGGCGGTCGTCCTCGCCGCCGCCCACATCGGCCGTGCCGGTCGACGTGGTAGATGGGGCGACGCTCGCGCTCTCCCTGCTCGAGGGGGCGCCATCGCCAGCGTCGCCCGCGCCCGACTCCTGGGGCGCGGCCGGCGGGCCCGCCAGCTTTACGCGCGCGGGCGCCCCCGCGGGCCCTGGGGCTGCCGTCGTGCCAAGGTTGAAACCTGGTCCTCCATCCACAGGTTCTCTCTCCGCCCTCCGTCCACCTTTGCTCGACGCGCCCTCCCCAACCTCGTCCTCCTCAGTCGCGAATTCCTCTTCCTCCTCTGCAATGGGAGGCAGCGATGCTCGGGTCGACGTCTTGTTGGGGATGGGCTTGGAAGGCCCCTTCGCCGTCGAGCACCCCAGGCGTTCCTGGAGCTCGTCCACCAGCGTCGTCCTCTGCTGCTTCGCCGTGGTCCTCAGCAGCACCTCGTGGGAGTGGCCGTGCGGGCAGTGGATATCGTTGATGCCAACAGGGGTGCTGGACGCTTTCGCGTTGCCAGGAGCAATTGCGGCATAGGCATGTACGGTGTGTGTGCGGAAACCGTTTCGGACGTACAGGTTACCGCATCGGGGGAAGTACACCGACTTCCCCTCCGCTTTCTCCAACTCCAACTCGTGTTTGTCTAGAGTTTTGGGTTTTGAACCCGTCGTCGAAGAGGGACGTCAGAGAGGTTGTAGTCTAATCGAGGAACGTGTGCAACCCGTTTCAAGAAAAGGTCTGTTGTGCCATCGCGCGAGCTAAGGGTGACCGTTACGTCGCCGTACCCTACGAGAGGAAAGGTTTCTCCGGCGGCGACGCGCGCACGTCTATCACACTCCTCGTAACGAACGAACCCATCTGAGTTCGCGAACATGTGGGTGGTAGCGCCGGTATCGGCAACATACCTACCCCGCCTAGCCTGCTCTACACCCCCTCGACCAACGACTTTGTGACACTCGCCTGAGATGCCACTGACCACCAGGGCCTCTTCTGCCACGTCCAGTGCTGTGGCGTCCGCAGACGCCCCCCCCGCCGGCACTTCCANNNGCCCTTCTTACCGCACCGACCGTGCACGCTACCCGCATCGTCGTCGCCGCCTCCGCCGCCTCCGCCGCCACCACCAGCCTTCGCGCCACCCCCTCTCCCCTTCNCTTTGCTCTTGTCGTGCCCATAGCCCTTGCATGTTTCACATCGCACGGGCTTGCTCTCGGTGCAGTCGGCCACCTGACCGTGCACGCTACCCGCATCGTCGTCGCCGCCTCCGC